CACAGTACTTTAGAGGTGGTATAAGGACCTCATTAACACACGCCATTAGACATTCGGAAATCTACCACACAGATTTCCCTCTTAATCCGAAAAGTTTTTTGTTTTGTTTTGGAAAATGGACTGGGAGATTTGTTATACACTCTTGATATCAGGAAACCTACCACACCTTCCACTCTTAATCCAAGAAGTTTCTTTCAGGAAAAAAATAACAAAGAGAAACAAAACAGCAAAACAGGAACAAAGAAATGTGAGCCAGCGTGGTGGAATCAGGCTCTCGTCAATATTTGGGCATGTAGAGTTATTGGTATCATCTTAAAGCATGTTCACTTGTCTTTACTTGGATGAAAAAAAATCCATATATCTTGAATACAAGTCGAGATATTTGCGAATGAAGGGGGTGTGGGTCACCTGTTTTCAGAGGTAAAAGTAGCGAGAAAATGGCCGCCAAAGATTCGTTATTTCCATAGCTTAAGAGTTCGTGATAACTGAAAATTTACATCTTTTGTGTCTTTAATCAACTTTTTTAAAAAGAAAAATCCACACAGAAATGAGTTCTTTAATCTGCATGAAAGGTGTTGAGCCAAAAAACAAAATTTTGATAAAAAAATTTCCAAACCTGCAGAAAAATGCAAGTTTCTTCACTTAGATTATTTTTACGAGAGCCTGATTCCACCACGCTGCCTCACAAATACAAAACTGGTTTACAGACACGGCCTTTCGACTGCGAAGCAATTGCGTTGGAATTGATGTAAATGTTTTATGAGCTCAAATAGATTAGTTTGTTGGAATTGGACAATAAAAGAAACCGTTGGGAATGTGTGGACGTTTAAATGTTTGAAACGCTAGACTCGCCGTTTTGATGTTGTGAACGTTTGTGAGTCAGATTGAAAATGAAAGAGTGATTGAGAGAGAGGAGGGGATAGATAGATAGATAGATAGATAGATAGAAGGATAGATAGATAGATTGATAGATAGATGGATAAATATAAAAAAATAATAACAATAATATCAATAATAATAA